TTAAAGCGGATTTTCAAGCGTCACATTGACAAGTAACCGAACGGGAATCAGGTGATAAGTTGTAGTAGTTGTTACATTACGGCCGATATTATCATTGGTAGATTCATATAGTGAGCATCTGAAGAAAGTGCAAACTTAAGTAATAGGCTAACTTCTAATCACAGTCAAAACCATTGTGAATATCAATTGGCTACAAGAAAATTGAAACTTGATCTGCTGTACTTGGATTTTGAAGTGCTCTGAATTGGTGTACACAATCACCAAATGTTACCACGCTACAACCTGGTACATCTATGGTGTGTATATAGAAATACAAATATGTTAAACATGTAGAAAAGTGATGAATAGGAAAGGACAGTTCTGCCCCAGCCTGTCCCTCCTTCTCCATTTATAGTAAATCCCTCCCCTGAGGGATGGGTGAGTGAGGGATTAGTGAGGGATGAGGGACTGACCCTGTAAAAGGACAGGTGACCTCTCCCATAATAGCGTAGAAGATGATTATCCCTAAATGGGAATACATGGCATGCTAGAGGGACTTTAAGGTTTTAAACTTAAATCGGAGTGGGCGTTGCAAACTATTGGCATCTACGTCTTGTAACCACTTTCTGATTGCGTGAAGACCGACTTTGTACTTTCCTTCCTTCCTTAGATATCGACATATTTTCTCAGGGCCGGCATAGTTGATAGGATTGTAGATAATTTCCATATGTTCTTTCCAACTCATGATTGCAGACTGATGCAAGTATATGTGAGTTGACGTTTATGTTATTAAGTTCTACAAAACAAGGAGGGTGTAGAAGCGGTCGGAGCGGGTTGCACTAAAAATAAACCTGACGCTAGGCAATCTACACTATTATGGGAGAGGTCACCTGCCACCTTACCTTTTATAGAGTTAGTCCCTCATCCCTCACTAATGCCTCACTCAACCATCCCGCAAGGGAGATATTTACTACAAATAAAGAAGGAGGGACAGCCTAGGGCAGAACTGTCATTTTCTTTTTATCATTTTTCCCAATCTACATGCATCACATGTTTACTAGTCTACACACATAACAAGTGTATACATGCTTACCTCGAGAACCCCTTCGCTCTATTACACAGTTATCGTCAAGTAGCTGAAATAAATATTTAACGATAAATACTTAGAATAAAATAAAATAGAAAATATACATCTTACTACAGTGTCAAAAGAGTCCGAAGTCGAAGTGTAAAACCTGCAGAAAGACGACATCTTACACAATTACACACGGGTAAAGTAGGTAGCTATATCCTGACACCCTACACTGTCACACTGGGGTAGGTGTAGGAAGCTATATCCTGACAACCTACACTGTCACACTTGGGTAGGAGTAGGTAGCTATATCCTGACAACCTACACTGTCACACTTGGATAGGAGTAAGAAGCTATATCCTGACAACCTACAGTGTCACATTTGGGTAAGGAGTAGGAAGCTATATCCTGACAACCAACACTGTCACACAGGGTTAGGAGATGGAAGCTATATTCTGACAACATACAGTGTCACACTGGGGTAGGAGTAGGTAGCTATATCCTGACAACCTACACCGTCACACAGGGGTAGGAGTAGGTAGCTACATCCTGATATCCTACAGTGTCACACAGGTATGGAGTAGGAAGCTATATCCTGATATCCTACACTGTCACACTGGGGTAGGAGTAGGAAGCTATATCCTGATATCATACAGTGTCACACTGGGGTAGGAGTAGGTAGCTATATCATGATTGCCTACACCGTCACACAGGGTTAGGAGTAGGTAGCTATATCATGATAGCCTATACCGTCACACAGGGGTAGGAGTAGGTAGCTATATCCTGATATCCTACAGTGTCACAGTGGGGTATGAGTAGGTAGCTATAACATGATATCCTACAGTGTCACACCGGGCTAGGAGTAGGTAGCTATATCCTGATATCCTACAGTGTCACCCAGGGTTAGGAGTAGGTAGTTATTTCCTGATAGCCTACACAGTGACACAGGAGTAGGTAGCTAGATCATGAGAGCCTACACCGTCACACAGTGGTAGGTGTAGGAAGCTATATCCTGACAACCTGCACTGTCACACTTGGGTAGGAGTAGGAAGCTATATCCTGACAACATTCACTGTCACACAGGGTAAGGAGTAGGTAGCTATATCCTGACAACCTACACTGTCACACTTGGATAGGAGTAGGAAGCTATATCCTGACAACCTACAGTGTCACATTTGGGTAGGAGTAGGTAGCTATATCCTGACAACCAACACTGTCACACAGGGTTAGGAGTAGGAAGCTATATTCTGACAACATACAGTGTCACACTGAGGTAGGAGTAGGTAGCTATATCCTGACAACCTACACCGTCACACAGGGTTAGGAGTAGGTAGCTATATCCAGACATCCTACAGTGTCACACAGGTTTAGGAGTAGGTAGCTATATCCTCACATTCTACACTGTCACACAGGGTATATTTAGTGTATTTTGGGGGACCCAATTATATTAAAACATATAAAACATCAATTAAATGTTCAAATCACTGCTTTTTGTATTTCGGATACGATTGTATATTATATTTGCGACTTAAGTACATTGCTTTGTCGTCATTACTGTGATAAAGGTATTTATAAAAGATTTTCGTTGATGTTATGTCTTAACAAATGGCATTATTGCTGTTAAAAAGGGTTTTTTGATTTAAAAGCACATTAACAAACAGGTTTCAACATGGGACATACTTATGATGTAAAATGCTTTTTCATTTTAAAAAAAATCCGGCGAAAGATATCAGTTTTATCAAGTTAGGAGAACTCGATGTCTCACAGGCGAAAATGTAATAGGATGAGATAGCAATACATGGTCAAGACCATAGGAGAACATTTGTATCGTTTGAATACTATTTACCAATTCTGCTAGATATCTTTCTTCGGATAGCTTAGCGAGATCATAGGGTGTTCGACTGTCCCGGTTTTTCAGGCGTTTGGCAATATCTGCACCAGGGTACTCGAGGAGGATTTTACACAGACCAGGCAGTCCGTAATGGGCAGCAAAGTGTAGCAGAGTGGGGTACAGCTTGCTGCTGCGCGTGTCGCAATCTGTAAACAGGACAAAACCCAGTATGTCAGATAACGATTAAGTTTATACCATCATTTATCATGGAAAACATAGAATATACACAACGTACCAAACATAGTAACATTAAAATATATTCTGGAGAAGAAATGTTAATGAACAATCTGAACATTTTATCATATTCCAAATAAAGGTTAAACATGATATTGATGTCAAACATCAGGCGGATATACACTCCATGAAACCTTGATATTCCTGCACACAGTAATCATCAATAGAAAAGTATTCATACGCCAGCATGTACTAATATTTTCTACATATTTCCAAATATCGGTATTCTGTCATCTAGACTTACACAACGAGAATGAATGTTTTTTTCGAATTCTCAATTAATCAATTACATTTTAAAAGACCGATGGCGATAACGTTACAGCATTACACAAGTGTGAAATCGGTAGCGAAATCTTTGAAGCCAATTCTGATGAAAGCAAACCTCATTCGACAGTGTGTTCTTCTTCGTTTTAAAAATTTCCCGACTAAAATATCACGACCGCTAAAGAGGTGAACGATTCAAGTTATAACTAACAACACTAATAAAATTATTAATTAAAATACACAAATATATTAATCTTCTGCAGTAATGCATGTTTCTCTATCCCAACTCATTAATTTTATACTGAATTTGTAATATGCATTGGACATATGCTATTGACATTTTAGGCTAACCTTTGGTGAAGTTCAAATTTCCCATGTCTGTTTTGAGTGTCACATGTGAAAACGAATTTAAACGGAGAGCAATCTTTCGAGAAATCAGCATTGTTCATAAAAAAGATACAAACCGTCGAAGTTGGAGTTTCCGGTCATCAGGTTGTTCATCGGCTCAGAACATTTGCCGTTAGAAAATCTGTCTACAAAATCAGTATCTAAAGCATCCTTTGTCTTCTCCGAAACTCCCATGACGTCACACATGAAGGTAACTGGGTTGATGACGTCAGCGAGCAAATCCGAGAACACCTCCGTTTGTGATTTGATAATCACTGAACAGAGCCCAGCATACTCGTCGCCAACTTTCACTTCGATTTTCTTCTCACCGTGAGTAAGTCCTATAAAATGATAGACTGTTATATCATCACAAGTTATAATAATCACATTAGGTATTCAAAGTAGACTATTTATTTTTCATTCAATATTACGATATTTATCAATTTCTCCCATGTTTTTGAATACATATTGAGGACAATTTATTGTTAATATTATAGGATATAATATCAAAAAGGGTTACTTTGTATTAAAGAGAAGAAAGTCCCACCTTTTGGTTTGAAAGAAAACATGGACGCGTTCATGCGGGTGGTTTTGAACGTGACGTCACTACCTAGTTCGTCTAGTACGGTGACAGTGACGTGTGCTGGGACGTCCGATCGGAACACCACGTACACGGAATCCTGTATCTAAATACAAATAGGCTTTTACGTAACATAGGTACTGCGTCATTGGCAGATCGCCTAGAAATAGTAATTTATACTACACTCATAGCATACACTAATTTACTTCTTCTGCTCCTTGAAAAAATCGTTTTTAATGTAGCAGTTTTTCAATCTAATTAAGTTCTTATTCCGATTGGCTGATGCAACATTGAGATCACGCAGTGCAGTAATCAATTTAAACATAAACAAAAGAACTCACCGACCGGATTGTATGAGGAACTATATTGCAAAGCTTCAGAGTTGGCGCCGAATTTCTCTGTTCAACCATCTCAAGTATATCCAGAATCGATCTCTTGAATGTTATTGCTGATCTGCCGATATGTGTCACTTGCCATTTCGAACTCATCTTGTATTTTTCTGCCAACACTTTTTTACAATTTTCGATTTCGAATTGTTTGGGTATCATCATAATTGTTTTAGTAGCAGACGTAAAAACACCAGTGAAACATTCCTGCTCGTTCTCCTGGAGTACACGGAGTATGTCCGGGGTCATTATGATGGCGTTGACGGTGGCAGAACCCCAGATTTGTTGACCATCCTTAGTATGTGTCAGTGTACTCTTGACAACGGTTATTTCTAAGTCATCGTTACTTAGTGTCTGTCCAACTGTGTCGGCGATATCAGCGCCGTCGTCTTCGTATATAATTTGGACCACGTCATTCTGCATTATTTCTGAGGCTAAAACAGGTACGTTGTTCTGTATTAGTCGGCGACAAGCATTAGGCATACACTATATTTACTTAATTGCTTATTTAAAGTTCTTTAATTGTTTCTTCATATTTACAAATAGTTAGCATTTGATATGTCTATTAAAAAAACCAACATGCAACGGTAAAAGATATTTAAGTAGTTATCTATCATTGATGGCATAGCCTTAAATATTACCTTTTCTTCTCGACGAACGCCGGTTTATTGGTAAACAATTTGAGTCTTCTGAAACAAAACATAATCGAAACACTATTAATAATTCAACGCCTCATAATAAATGAAATTAAAATATGACAAAGTTAACACCCAATATACTAGGATAGACAAGTAATATGCAACAGCTTCACCACACAAAGATACTTATAACAAAACGTCAACTTACTGGTACAAACTATACCACCGCATCACCACACAAAGATAACTCATAACAAAACGTCAACTTACTGGTACAAACAATACTAACGCCTCGCCACACACAGATAACATACCAAAACGGCAACGTACAAGTATAAACTATACCACAGTATCAGCATACGATGATAAAAAAGCAAGAAAAAACAGAAGTATCAATAAAACCCTAACACGAAGTATAAAGAATCGGGCAAAATGTTTACATGGGAAAGATTTACATGGAACGCTTGAAAAAAAGGAAGGAAAATAAGACTAGGTGTTCCGAATGGGTAAACGTTTTTATCGGACACAACCGCCATATAAATTTATTTCAATCATAGTAACGTCACGTCCTCACATCGAGAAATGGGGAAGTGACAACAAAACCACCAGGTACGTTATACACTGATGAGCAGAATTAAAACCACCAGGTACGTTACACACTGATGGGCAGAATCAAAACCACAAGGTACGTTATACACTGATGGACAGAATCAAAACCACCAGGTACGTTATACACTGATGAGCAGAATTATGACTACCAGGTACGTTATACACTGATTGGCAGAACTAAAACCATCAGGTACGTTCTACACTGATGAGCAGAATTAAAACCACCAGGTACGTTACACACTGATGGGCAGAATCAAAACCACAAGGTACGTTATACACTGATGGACAGAATCAAAACCACCAGGTACACTGATGAGCAAAACTAAAAACCACCAGGTACGATATACACTGATGAGCAGAATTAAAACCACCAGGTACGTTATACACTGACATTCTGAAAATACATACTACTTGCACTCCACCATTCCAAGATGTCCTTGTACACCTACTCTGGTTACTCCAGGTGAAAAAGTATAAAAAAAAAAAATAAGCCAGGACAACCTTTTGCAAGAGTAAAGGTCAAAGGTCAAAGGTCAAGTCATAGGTCACAGTGACCCAATTCTGCACTCTGCACTGTGCCATCCTAAAATGTCCTGGTACACCAAATATTGATACTCGAGGTGAAATAGTATAAAAGATATACCCCGGACAAACATTTTCAAAAGTAAAGGTCAAGTCATAGGTCACAGTGACCTAATTCTTGCACTCTGCACTCCGTCCTTGTATACCAAATCTGGTTACTCCAGGTGAAATAGTATAGAAGATATGCTCCAGACAATCTTTTTCAAAAGTTAAGTTTAAATAACATATTCTATGAAAACTTAACATGTGCTTGTACAGGTACACTGTTGAGCAGAAAACCACCAGGTACACTGATGAATTAGCAGAATTAAAACCACCAGGTACGTTATACACTGATGAGCAGAATCAAAACCACAAGGTACGTTATACACTAATGAACAGACATTAAAACAACAAGGTACGTTATACACTGATGAGCAGAATTTAAAAGATCGACCTTCATATCACACAGAGAAACAGCATACTTCATTCCGAGTAAGTTTGTCCTTCATATGTCGGCATTTATCGCGAAAATGTACCTGGAGCAAGCCCTTTAATACGTAAATAACTCCGACATGAAAACACCGTATGATTGGGAAACAGAGATGATACTATCAAGGAAATGAAAGTTCAAGATGAGAAAATGGTCCCGTTAATTGTACAGGTAAGCAGTAAGTCGTCTCTATTGGTCATGTTGAAAGCAGAGCTCGAGGTAACCAGCCGTAGTAGAAGAGTATGTAGTGTCCTTGATTCCAGGAGGCTAATCGGTGTGGTCAGTAAAGTTCGAGTCATTTAATGACAGCACATCGACGATATATCGGCAAGTCAAATTGAAGGACTTGGTTAGTTAAGTTTTTTTACCAGTTCTGATAAGTTCTTCAATAAATTCAGCCTCTTTGAAAACAAACGATAAGAGGTGTACAGTTTGTTCCAATAGGCAATATGGAAAAAATGGGTTGGAAGCACAACCCAAATGAAGAAAACAGACAGAGCACTAAAGTCCACTGGTGCTCAATGTAACGTACACACGATGTGTTACAGTACGAGACAGGTACAACTTTCCGGGCGGTCCTACTTTGTTTCCGTTTTATAATGTCGGTATGATGCATTGCTTTTGGTTTCGTGTTGACAGAGACGAGAAACTCTGCATTTATGTTCAACGTAAAGTTTCAAAATAGGCTGTTTAGTTTGAATAATTAGCGTTACTGACTTTTTAATATCATTTTTATCGAACAGATATATCTTAATACCTTTGTTAAATATTATACAACGCTATCAGGCTGTACAAAGATGATCGTTGTGTACGGTAATAATAACAATCAACGATGGCCAGCGATTTTGAAACACGTTGATAACTGCAGGGTTATCTTAGGTACTTCCCCCGGATTTCTGGTCGCGCATTTTTCATACTCAGTTGAACCTCGTTTTATCACGTCAAAGATACACTGTACTTTAGTATATAAACACTATTAAACACCATCTACATACTAGTACGCGAGAGTACGCTGTAGTCAAAAAAGGAATATATGAAATATAGTTGCCATCATTATCATAATATCCATCAGAACAAGATCGATGCTTGTGAAATGGTCACTATATATAGAGTCAGAACGTCGATGCAGAGAGCTAAATGAAGTAAGCGTTTTCTACCGCGCCATGAGGCCTTGTTGTCTATTTATGATTTAGAGTAAGTGTTAAGTGGCATTGTTGTCTATTTATGATTAAGTGTAAGTGTTAAGTGGCCTTGTTGTCTATTTATGATTAAGTGTAAGTGTTAAGTGGCCTTGTTGTCTATTTATGATTAAATGTTCCTTTATAACGTTATACAGCTTTAGACACTACAAATAATAAATACTTAAAATAGGTCATATGTAGTTTATGTTAACCGCGTCAAAATGAATTCAAGTTACGAAGTTACAGCCGACCTCGGAGTCTGGTAGTCCACAAGTCAACTAATGACTGAGTTAAAATGATCACTGGTAGTACGAAGGCACTCCTGTATAAACCTTCAGTATGTTGGTGCAGAAAACAAATCAAAACAAATCAAATCTTTTCTCCTGCACCAGAGGACTATATAGTCATTCATAGACTAATCAGTGGTA